ACACAACAGACACAACACACACAACACACACAACACACACAACACACACACACACACCCACCACACACACACACCACCCACACACACACACACCGCACCACACACACACACACACACACCCCACCACACACACACACACACACACACCCCCCCACACACCCACCCACACACACACACACACACCCGCGCGCACACACACACACAGAGACGGAGACGCGCGCACGCACGCACACGCACACGCACACGCGCACGCACACGCACGCGCGCGCACGCACACACACACACACAGCCTCACTGACTGCCACTGACACTGTGACTGCTACACGCTGAACAACCCGTTTTGCTTCACCGTGCCCTGGACCAGAATCCCTGTGTTTTACGTACCGCCTGAGACCTCCGCAAGCCTCCCCTGTCCTCCTTCGAGCAGACTGAAACATCTAACCCCACCCCCAAGAAACCCAAAGAGCCCCTAAAACCCTAGACCCTGCAGGCCCTAAAGCGCTGGCTCACGTTGTCCCATGCCTCTGCCGTCTTGGCGTTCTAACCGACGGCTTGCTGTAGGGACGAAAAGCGGATTCAGCAACAAGCCCAAAGAAGCCCCCCAACCCAAACCCCAAAACGAAATCTGCCTTTGAAGGCAGAAGCCAAGCAGGGCTGGAAGCAAAAAGCCGCCCTGGTTGCAGAAGTCCACCTTCGGAGGTGCCAAAGGTTTAGGGTTAAGGGTTCAGGGTCCAGGTTTACTGCTGGGGTTGAAGAACCGCGCTTTCTCTGGCTCGCTAGTTTTTTAGTTGAAGGGTTGCATAGGGCTTCCAGCAGGGCTCGATGGGTTTCAAAGAGGTCAAGCTCTAGGATACGTCGGTGTTGTTGTGGTTAGAAGTTGCAAGTATGCCAGAAAGGTGACCACAAAAAGAGCACTTTTTTTCCTTCCGGCGTTGTTTTTTTTGCAGGGTGTTTCTCTGCGTTTCTCTTGCGGCCAGGGCGCCCCTTCGATCCGTCTGGGATGGGCCGTGATCAGTTGATGCAGGCCGAGCTGAGCGAAGTTCGGTGAACGAGGCTAAGATGTCTAGGAGGCAGGCAGCCTACATCTTCAAATTAGCTCCGAGTCGGTTACTGCTTCTATAAGAAGCTTTAGGAAAGGCCCCAGGCCCGCGCCAACACTCCATGATGCACTTCGCCAGCCCGAGTTATACCCAGTGGTAGTCAGCAGGTGGATTGCCGCATCTTTAAAGTGAGAACATCTTGCCGCTCAGTGAGTGATGTCTCATGTGTCTCATTACAACATTTTTAGGTTTGTGATCACTCGCGCAACGCATGCTGAACATCCAGTGTCTCAATTTGAGTTTGTTTCATCTTGTTGCATTGGTAAGGGCTGCTGGAGCAAATGGTAGTAGTTTGATAATACACAATGTGGGTTTGATTTTCGGAGCATGGTTACGTTAATCTTTGCAGGCTGCCGCTACGCTTGCAAAGTTCTGCCTTGTTGCGCCGTATTGGGACACAGTAAGCCAAGCATACACAGCTATCTTTTTTTGTGCTATGGTTGCCGGTTGCAGTATCTCATGCCGTCGTACGCTGAAAAGAAGAACCATAATAATCGGTTGGGGCAACACCAACGCGACTGTACCACCTCTCCGACGACGGTGGAAGCAACACTAGCAGGCTTGAGCAATTTTATCCTAAACCCTAAACCCTCCCTAAACCCTAAACCCTAAACACAAAAAAGGCCTAAACTGTGTAAGCTTGAGCGGCTCTTGCTGGCTCGTGCCGCATTCTGGCCCTGGGGGTTTCGCCATTGGAGGCAAATGCAGGGGATCCTTGAGTCGCCGAGGGATAGAAACCCAACCCTTCAATAAAGCTAGAGGAGTCTCAGTCCGATTGTGATCCTACAAAAATGCCTGCGTGCAAGTTGTGATTCTCTGCAAGGGGCTCATAGGATTCAGGGTTATGGGGTTGAGGTTTTAGGGTTCTCGGGCTTCAGAAGCCCCTGACCTCGGAAAGCCTATGTGCAGGAAGCCATCTCCAACCGACGAAAGCTCAAAGCGAACGAGTCGGATGTGCTTTTCAAGAAGGTGGCTGGTTGCGGGATTACTAGTACAACTTACAATATTTGCAAGGGTGAGCACTATGCTCACAACCTGTAAGCAAAACAGCCGCGAACCCTGATCTGTCCAGCAGCGTGCCAAGGCTGTCCAGGTTTTGTGTGCTTTCTGCGGTTTTCTGGAATGGATCTTCGAAAAGCTGCTTGTTTGTGGTGCATTTTAATGGGATGTTAGTTCGCGTGCTTACCTGAGAGGTTGAGCAAGTCCTCGCTGGATCATTCGAGGTCTTTCAAGGGAGCCAAAGATCATGACATTAATTCCGTCGCCGTCGTCGTGCTTGTTCTTGTTCTTGTTCTTCTTATGCTTCTTCTTCTTCTGCTTCTTGTCGAGTTGTGGTGGTGGTGTTGGTCGTCGTCGTCGTCGTGGTGGTCGTCGTCGTCGATGATAGTGGATGGCATTGGTCAAACAAACCTACATGACGCACTGTTTTTCCAATGACTATCCTAGTCGCCAGGCAAATGCCGCTCGGGCACTCGCTTTGGATCGACAGAGGGCCGAAGAGAAGCGGAAAGAGCAGAAGGACTGCCTGTTGTGATGTGTTTGGTTTGGCCCATCCGCGGCGGCTAGCGCACTTGGCTTCCGGACATTGTTCGGGTTGAGGGTTACGCGAGGAGGGATCACCACAGCACTTCTTCCAGCTCCTGACAGGAGTCGCTGCAGGATCTCAATGCGAGACGACGGTTGGATGTCGAGAGGCCGTGTGCAGACCCCGGGGGTTTATGGATCTCGAACTTAGGACATGAAATTTCATGGGTTTTGCCAGTTTGGCCGTACAGGATGGATGCACTCGACATAACTTGGGAAACTGAGCAGGCAAGATCCACATGAAGAGTGTGCATGCCCCTTCTTCCCTTCACCTCGTCTCCCTTTGCCCCGGCGCATTTTCGTTGCGCCTCGGGCATGGTAATGGTAGGTGGTGAATCCAGGAGGACCCTTTAGCTCGAAACCTTACACCCTAAGGTGCCAAGCAGGAAGTCTAGGACATTTTCAGGTGGGTAGTTACCGTTATAGGAGCCTTATAGAAGGTCTATACACCTTATAGAACACCTGTAGTTCCCTTTAAGGAAGGTAGGAAAACGAAGAGGCAGCTGGTTCGGATCTTCACGCCGATCCCGCGCCCGCACGAGCACCTGCCGGTTTACTGCCAGCGGTTGAACGTCGGGGGCTTAAGGGGGCGAGTCCGAGGTTCGAGGGTTATTCCCAAGAGTCGGAAAAGGGAACAAGAAGAGCATCAAGCATCATGTAAAGCAGCGAAGAACTGCAGAAGCAAGACTAGCCTTACTAGTGCAAACTTGTGCAATGGTAGCAATAGCTAGTCGGGAAGAGAGTCTCACGTCTCATGTGGTTCGAGCTCCGGCCGATGCCGAGCCGCAGCTGACGAACGTAGGACAGCCGAGCCGGCTATTTTTTGTCAGAAAGGGCAAGACTGACGTGACATAAGACTTAAAATAAGAGTCGCCACAGTATCACAACTGGCATAGTAGTTTAGTAGTGCGGCAAGTTCCGGCATGGTGTTGAATGTCGGATTAGCACTAGTTGCGCTGGCATGCTGTCATGAGCAGTAAAATCACAGTGTCAACGGCAGAAGCCAGCCACCAGGCGTAATCAAACCAGTACGGGCAGCCAACGAGCAGTATAAGGCGAGCAGCAAAGCGCGGCAGCAAGCAGAGCATCCGTGGCAGCAACACCGACAGCAACAAAGCCACTCTGGACGACAGTATGACCAAAAGTCGATTGTCGAAACTTGAAGCAGTAGCCGCATTCACGGGAAACCTGAACCAGCACCCTGAATCGTACGCTTGACCCAAGGAACCGAGAGCTCGAGAATTATAAATCGCCCGAGACCCCCTCAGGTCGACCTGACCGTCACTACCAGGCAGGTCAGAAAGCACAAGGGCGCAAAGGGAGAGCCGCTCGCCGGCATCTTTGAGCTTCAGGGTGCTATATAATATAATATAATGTAATTTAATGTAATGTAATATAATATAATATAGTCTAGTATAAAATAGAATAAAACAATATAATATATAATGTAGTATAATATAATATCTATATCATATATATATATATATAATCTGTTACCGCGACGGATCGCGACTGCAATCGAATGAACGGCGGCAAAATTGTTTTCCTACCTAGCGGGTTCGGCCTGGACATGCGGCAAACCCCAGCTGTTTCTAGACGCACAAAGCCCTACAAAACAACCCGGCTTCAACCAGAACCCTACACGCATATCTTCGCGGCATCCGTGACCCTGATGCCAGACTCAGGCCGATTCTTTTTGTCGAGATTGACAGTGTTCATCAGCTCCTTGGCAGCTGCATCAAAAATATCCCAAAACCGGCTACACTCCTCGTTCAGAAGATGAGAAGATGAGAGCTGATCATACACATCATTGTATGAAGCGCAGTGTTGCAGCTGCGACGGCGAGGAAGAGAGGTCCTAAGCTCCTTCAGATGCCCAGAAGCCGTGAAGGACTCGCTGTTTTACTTTGGCTCTCAGGGGCTGTTTAGTTCATGCCTCACTTTCGGGATGAGTCAACCCAAAGCGCCCCAAAGCCTTAAACCCTAAGTCCTAGACCATCGGACCCTTGCTCTGTCAACATGGCGGCGCTGCTATCCTTCGACGCTGCGTGGGCCAGGGATCTGAGCCGAGAGCTCCTCTCAAAGCTGACTTGGCCACGCGTTTGCGCATTGGCTTCGGCCGGTGTGGTGGCGCGGGTGCTTTGGTCCCACTACGGGATTCTTCTCCGGAGGCGGCTCCCAACCCACGACCTGGGTCTTCCGTTAGTGGGGCACACCTTCGAGATCAAGCAGGAGTCTCTGGAAGGATGGGTAAACCGAGTGCTGAAGGATAAACAAGCTTACCTGGCCCATTACTTCTACTCTCACACGGTCCTCTTGCGGCACGAGCTATACATGAAGCACGTTCATCGTGCGGAGCTCGACGGCAAGCTGTGTCCCTTTTACCCGCGTGGCCTTTCAAGGTTGATCGGTGAGAACAGTATCATTGTCCTCCCTGGCGGCAAAGGCCACCACAAGCACAAGCGCTTGCGAGGCAAGCTGCTCTCTAGCCTCGGGCCGCAATATGTTCTCAGCATTATTCCCGAGATCATGGCAATGATTCGCCAAATGCTGGATGGTCTCGTGAAGGACACGGAGCGACAAGGCTACGCGAAATTTCAGCCAGCGGCAACAAACCTGGCGGCGCGTGTCTCGGTGCTACCGATCGCAGCGGGGCTCGAGGATGCAGATCAGCAGCGCTTTCAGACGCTTCTCGACACCGCCCTTTTGGGCCTCTATGCGCTTCCGATCAACCTCGGCCGCTTCTCGGCCCACGGCCGCGCTCTGATCGCGCGGCACGATATCGACGAAATTATCTCCAAGGCAATGGCTAGCCCGAACAAGCATCGGCAGAACATCGTCGCTGACCTGGCGAAGGATTCGAAGGATGGCCATGGCTTCACCAAGGAGGAGATTTCGGACACATTGTTCAGTCTCCTGGTGGCGGGTAAGATGACGACCTCAGAAGCTTTTCCATTCTTGTTGGTGCAGCTTTACAAGCACCCGAGCTGGATCCCACGCATCGCTTCGGAAAGCCTCGAGATGACAAACCCCGAGGAGAACTCGGCCACTCTGCGCTTCGTGCGCGAGGCCATGCGGCTGAAGCCACCAGCTGGCGCCTTCCGACGGGTGAACAGGACAGAGGTCGTGGACCTCGGGGAGCACGGTGTGGTGCCCAGGGGCTGCCCGATGGCGATCGACCTCAGGGCAGACCTCAAGGACATGGGACAGACGTTTGATCCGGAGCGGTGGCTGACCGAAGCCAAGGACAAGTTTACAGTTTTTGGCGGGAATCAACCCCACGAATGCATCGGGAAGCATTTGGCACTAGTCGAACTGCAGCTCTTCGCCCGCATCCTGTGCCGTGAGTACAACTTCCAGGTGATGAACATGACTGAAGTTGTGAATCCGGGAAATCCGATCAACAGGACCTACAAAGATGGCTGCCGCGTGAAGTTCTCGAAGCAGTGACAGCATGACGAGATAAGAAGTGCTCTGCGATGTTGATGCCTATTGGGTGGTCATTGGTCGTAGGTTCCTACATGACTCTTATTGGGTGGTGTTTGTTGCCTCATGCAGCAAGCTATCGCATGTGCACTTCGATTCTGTCTGGCATGTTAGGGTAGCAAGACCGTTCGAAGCCGTGCCTTCCCCGTGCGAGTGTGCGAGTTGAAATCCATTCCGAAACCGCTGTCAAGAAGAGAAAGATCGGGTTCACACCTGGCCAGGTCCTTACAGGCACGGTGAAGCCAAGACTGTCCTCGGGGTGTGAGTAGGGCATGTAGCAAGGTGCAAGTTCAAGGCGCTAGTCAATGCATGGCCAAGCCAAGCGAGCCTTACTTTCCTGCCGATAAGCTTTCAACAAACCCTGGCCGAGTCTATCGAAGCCTCCGTCATAGCCTGTAGAATCATTACAAACTTTCAAGCCCGGAAGCTGAACCGGGGGTTCTTTGTGTTTCGGCTTGTTCCCGGTATCCATGTGCCCACCCTTCCGAAACAGGTTGGAAATGCTTCATTTGTGCAACCATTACTCTTCGCTCATGCGGCCTTTCGTGCAAGCAGGCCGTTGCGAGGGCTGCGGGCTTTGGGTTTCGGAGTCGGCTTCCAGGTAGACTCTTTTCCCGAAAGCGGTTACGTTGTGATTCCTTGGGTGCGAGATGGCCTGTCCGAGATGGCCCATTACCGTGCATGCTTTGGCATCTCGATTTTCCAGCTTCTGCCCGTTCTTATCTTGGGCCCAAGGCACCTTGTACTGCGACTACTAATACTCGTCGTCATAGTTTGGAGGAGGAGTAGCAGCAGCAGCAGCAGCAGCAGCAGCAGCAGCAGCACGGACCACTGGAACCATTCGAAGACAAATCCACGACACACCTGCTTTCTAGCCATACGTCCTCGGGAAATGGCGACTCCAATCCTACTCTTGTGTATTCCGATAGCCAGCGGCTAGGATCTCTCGGAGGCGAAGAGTCCATGTTCCGGCCAGGTTGGAGCATTCTCACGGCACCACAGCGAAAGATGCGCGGATTTTTGCAGTTGAACCGTAGCTGGCGACTTCAGGCGAACACCGGTCCGAATACGCAAAACACGAAACGACCTCGACCGACCTTTTCAACCCTATTCTGCAATTCCCCGTTTGCTTGTGCCGTCAGGGGAGCACTAGCAGTCGCTAGCGTGAAAGTGCAAGTCGCCGTTCCTCCGCCGCAGGGCTCTGACGCCTCCAAGATGCCAATCAAAACCGCATTTGGGTAAGGCCATTCTGGTCAGACCGCACCGCAGCGAACAACAGGCGTGCGTGGCAATCGCGTGTGCGGGCGGCCGTGGGTGCTGCAGGGCCGGGTCCGATGCCGGCCGTTCCATCGATGTGCTTTACTCTGAAAACCGCATCCCCACTCTCCCAACCCAGAACCTTATGTCCACATTGTCGGGATTCGGGATGAACTTGCCATCATGTAGACAATGTAGGCATTCAGCGATTAAACTCTTAGTATCGGTATACTTTGTAGCGTTTATTAACCAACGCTTTCGCAAAAAATTTGCTTACGCATTGCAGGCGAGACAGAGATCGGTTCTATCTTGACCCGTCCTGCCTTCTGCAGAGCCTTGCCCGAAGCTCCGGATTCAGGGTTTGGGTTTCATGCGTTTTTTTGGAGATCTTCCGGTTGAAGAAGGACTTTCCTGTTTTGGGGAATAGATTTTGTGCATGGCGTGGGAGGTCTCCCAAACCCCCAGAAGTCGTCGCTGCAATAGGGTGGTTTTTGGGCTGTCAGGCTTGAGAGCGAAATGTAGGGCGTATTGCACTCATGACAGATCATCATTGCCTTCCCCCCAATTGTTGAATCATAAACCAGAAACTGCCCGAACTCTTTTGTTTGCTTTCCCAGCCTTTCGCATGTCGCTGTAGTCAGCCTCGTGTTGGACTTGTCGCCTGGAATCCGTGCCTGCTTTGTGCGAGTGCGCAGACGGAATCTGTTGTCACGTCTTGACTTCCACTGCCTGTGTGGTTGCTGCTGCTTTCAGTTTTCAAGCAGATGACAGCTCAATGGTCCGGACGGCAGGAGCAGGGCATAGTGAGCTTCGGGTGGCCTCCACAACTCAGGTGCTAGTTATATAGTTATATTGTTCCACACTGTTTTTTCATCCTTGTTGACGGTTTCTAAACGTCTTCGGCGAAGTTCTCTAACATCACCCGGACACTATCAAAACCGACGTATCAGCATCAATGCAGACCCGGCGGCCCACTTGACCCTCGTAGCAACAGTTTTTCTCGAACCAAGCACCGCAAAGGCATAACTCCGAACAAGCCCGCCTGATTACAGGATGAAGGGGTTTGGGGATTCGGGCTTGGTGCTTGCGCTCATTGTCTTTGTCCTTTAGGGCTTAGTCGGCGGTATGTAATGTGGTTTCGGCTGCTTTGGACACCTGAACTGACGCAAACCAAAACCAAGGAATGCTCATCGAGCTCACCTTTGCTGACACCCATGGTGGGATCATGTACCACACGGCCATCGACATCTTCGACGGTCTAGCAGCCGCGGGCTTTGCTCCCTCTCAACTTTGAGAGTTTGCCAAGGCCCACTGTGGAGGTCCGAAACTTTCAAGCCCGAAAGGAAGATGCGAGCCCGACCTTACATAACGCAGTAGTGACGCAGGAGTGGTACATAAGAGGTAAAGCGCAACAAGAGTAGCAATACCACTATCTGGCAAGAACCTTGCCGCGACGACAACTACGGCCACTGATATTGACATGAGCAGTGCGGGCCCGGTAATGACCTACTGAATCCCCGAGACACTCCTTGTGCCAGCATTGTCTCGGATGGGTTCGCCTGCCTGTGCGGGTCGAAAAGTCGAAATCCACAGCCCCGGACGAATTCCAAAAGACCATCTGGAAACTAAACCCTAAACCCTAAACCCTTAAGGAGGCCGAATGAACCTCGTTGCACCATGGAGCCGAGGCACAGCACTCCGTCAAGGGCTCGCCACTGACGGGTGCGCAGCCGGGCAGCACTGCGAGTTTTCTCCCTGGTTCTTAGTAGGGAATGGGGGAATGGATCCCTATGATAGTCCTTTAAGGTCCCCTACAGTAGTCTCAAAATCCCATTCCTCCATTCCCTACTAAGAACCAGTCAGTTTTTCGGGGAGGGGTCAGGGCTTGGTCTCGGGGCGGGGGGGGCCAGATGCTCAGAGCCTACGAGGCACAGAAATCCTTTTAACCCGAAGCTCTCTTACCAGAGAGGGTTGTTTGCAAGTTTCATAAGGGTTCTTGTATGGGGGCTCTTCTGTTATATAGGGGTTAGTATCGGGTTCTCGAGTTTTTAGCCTGACTGCCGAGGCTCGTCCTCGGCATACCGGTCGACGACCCTCGGCGAAAGAAGTGCCACATTGAGGGTTTACCTCCAACCTTCTTGGGTTTGCAAAGTTCTACAATTCCTTTTATTAAGCTTGCTTAAAACCGGGAATTCGGCAGCCAGGTTATCTAGGCTGCAGCTTTTGAGGCTAGCTGATTTTGGGGTTAGGGGTTTGGAGAGTCTTAGATGGCCACGCGTATGTTCTGTGGACTAGGCTTGCTAGCTTCACGTTTCACCTTTGCATAATTGATTCGGCTTAAAACCCGGGAACCACCACCAAGACCTGTGCACAGTCGGCAATGTTGCAAACCATGGTCTCACCTCCGGCTTGGGGGATCAGGGCAGTTATAGTTTGGGGTTTTTGTGGGAAGCTAATATGCTGAGGTGTGAGGTCTCCAGAATTCGGGGTCGAGGTTTACGGCTGAGAGGTGGCGCATCTACTCGAAACCCAAACCGGAAACGGACCCCAGCCCCGAGACGGAAGCCTCCAGGACCATAGTGATCGGATCATCCAGCTCTTCGCGAACATCCTGGCCACAGCAGCCTTGCTGCAGTCTTGCCACGCAACCGACCATAGCATCCGATGCATCAGCCACCGCGTAACATATCGGCAATCCCAGAACCGTCGCATCCATTCGCAACATGACTCGGGCTGGGTCGTTCCGTGGGTTTCGCGGGTTCCTTGACAAAGGCCCCCGAAACCAAAACCACAGCCTAAACCCCGGGCCTCCAACCCCCGTAAGTAGGAGGCAAAAATCCCAAGACTTTAGAATCTTTAGAGAGTTTAGAGTCAGAAGCACTAAACAAGGATGCCGAAGCCCTCAACACCGATAAAAGCGGATGGCAGACGTCTAACTCAGGATTGACACCGTGAACCATAAATGCCATACAACCTTCTTGTCAAACTTCTTGCAACACCCTAAACCCTTAATCCCAAAATCTACATGGCAACACTTCAGGCAGCCCGCGAGAGCAAGCACGGCGTCACGGCCGATGAATTCAAGGTACTGCCCTGCACGGAGGGCTTGTAAGTCATGATGAGTCACGTCATGCAGCAAATAATAATAACATTAATAACAATGCTCATATTATTGCCAATGCTAATGCCAAATAGCACCGCCTGTACCAATACCGATGCCAATACTAATACTGCTGCTGACGCTAACACTAATACTAGAACCAATACGAATTATGCTACTCATGCTCATACTCATATTCATACTATATAATAGAAATAGCGATGCGAATTTGCTGATGTGTACGGATGAACTCACTGAGATATCCCACCCATCAGGGTGGAGTTTCCTAAGTTTCCTACCCTGTTCTGTGCTGGGTGTGGTCGGCAGCGCTCCCGTGGCACTTCTGGCACGTTTGAAATTCAACAAACCTGTGCGAGTGCGAGCATGGAACACGTCCCAGTGCGATGGAGCTTTGTCCCTTCCGGTTTTTTAAAATAACGCGTTGGAGCCCCACCTGCCTGCTCATACCCACTGCGAGTTGTTTGTGGGCGGCGTCTGGGAGCTGCAGCAACAGAATGCGAGCTTTTGGCCTCCTCACGTGCAGAAATCTCGGCTTGGATGGCCTGCGCTGTTTGATCCCGAAGGTGCTGCAACTTGCGTGCTTTGC